TTTGGCCTCGGGTTTGTGGGCTCCCTGCTTGCCTTGCGACCAGGAGCCCGTGCCACCATAGGGTGCTACTAGTGGGCTCCTCATGGGATAGAGCTCTGCCCACACCCATGTCCCCATGATCACGCTAAGCCCTCCCAGGGAAGGCAGGACCCTTGGCTATGTGTTGCAGGTGAAGCAAAGGAGGCTCTTGAAGGTGCTTTCTGACTCCAGTAACCATGCTGTCTCCCCTCCCCCAGACACGCCGCCCAGACCAGCCCCCTTCCACCCCAGCTGGGGCTGCAGGGCAGAGGTGGAGCTCTGGAGATGGGTCTTAGGGCTGCTCAGAGCCTCCAGGGCTCCCTGAGATGGGGCCCCAGGCACACTGGGGCAAACGTGGGTACTCGAGACCCGAGACACCTCAGATACAGTAGGAGCAGGATGCTCGCCCAGTCATAGATGCACACGCATGTACACACCTGTGCACACCTGTGTGCACACACGCTCCTCACACACACCAAGTCCTCAGTCAATGGGGGCTGCATGACCAAGGAGGGCTTCATGCCCCTCCCGCCCTTTCCCTGTGCGGGTGTGCGTGCACCGGGCTTGAGGTGACACGTGAGACACCCCCCTCCACTTCAAGCTGGGGAGACCCCAGGACACGGCTGCCCAATTGCCCCACATCAGGTACCTGTGTAGGTGCCTCCATCTTCCTGGGGTAGGTGGCCTGACTGTGGCAGTTCCAGCAGGTGACAGAGGGATGTGCCCAACACTGGCCCAGCAGCCTCCTATTTATAACAGGCCAGCACCAGTGAGGTGTTGGGGAGGGGCCAGCTTCCCGAGGCAGCCACGCCTGCTCTGGACACGGAAAGGGAAGCCTTTGGGGACAGGGATGGGGGCCCTCCCCTGGGTGAGTCTTTCTTGCCCAGAGCCCTGGAAGGGAGGCCTGGGACCCTGACCCCAGCTGGAAATGAGGAGGTTCAGGTTTCTGGAGAGAGAAGGGAGGCCTGTGTTGGGCTGGGACCCCCTTGGATGCCCAATCTGCACCTTCTGGAGGAGATGCTCCTGGCCCCTGAAGCTCAGATCTCCCTCAGGCGAGACACCTGCTTTTCCTATTCCCTGCAGACCCTGTGTGTCCTGGCCCCTCAAGTCCCTGCCTGCTTCCTCCTGCCAGGCCTACTCACTGCCACCTGCCCAGCTCACTCTGCCAGCTCTGAGAACAGGTGTTTGTGGCCAAGGGATGCTGGGCGAGGGCCTCTGCTCCCAGAATCCAGGTGTCCCCCAGGGCAACCACTCAGCCACTCAAACGGGTGCTAATTGTGGGAACCAACTGGGGCCTGGGTGTGGAGATGGCACTTGGTGTCCCAAGGCACCTGGCTCAGCCTCCCTGTTACACACTAAGGCCACCACTGACCACACCACACACTGAGATGACACAGCAGACCTGAGACCATACCCTACCTGCTGAGACCACACACCAGGAGCACCCACGAAGGTGACATGCCATGTCATGGCCACACACAGGCTAAGACCACACACCGCATGCTAACAACACACACCATGTTCATGCTCAAATCACACTGCCTCTGAGGTCGAAATCCTTGGTTTGAAGGGTCAGCTCAGGCCCAACCACTCCCTCCCCAAGGCAGGCTCTTGGTCCCTGGTACCCCACCCCAGATCAGTGCTGGGACCCAGCCTGGTCTGAGGGAGGGACCCGCATGCCTGACGGGCTGTTCTGGTGGCCTCGGCATTTCCTCGTGGTTTTGGACGGAGGTGGATGGCTATGGGTGACATCTGGAAGAGGGAAGTGATGCTGGGGGAAGAGCTAGCCCTGGACTCACCAGGATGTGTGTAGTAATCATGCCTCTGTCACTCGGTGGCGGGGACCTTTCCCTAATTACTCAACCTCTCTGAGCCCATTTCCTCAGGTGCAAAGTGGGGCTGAGGTGCCTCTCCATGCTCGGGCTCAGAGGCGGGATCAGCTGATGTCACTGGTGTGCAGAGCCTGCTCCCTGCCTGTGTCAGAGCCCCCAGACTCAGCAAAGGCCTGTGTGGTTTTTCTTTGGGGAGTGGGCCATGTTATCAAGGTGACTGGGGGTCACGCTGCACTGGGGGAGGCCTTGTGGCAGGAGAGGAAGGCCCCAGACCCTCTGGGTAATTAGAACTGGAGTCACTAGGTTGCAAAGTGAACTGCCTGGAAAGAGGGGCTGCAGAGCCTGGCCTCAGAGGGTCCATGCCAGCCAAGGGAGGCTTGCAGGGAGGGAGCCCTGGTTAGGGGCAGGGGCATGCCTGCAATGACCCATGCCCTGTGGACTGGAGTCAGAGCTTGTCTACGCAGAAGACACAAACCCTCCTTACCTTCTCCTAGGGGAACACCTAAGGGAACACTGCCAAGGCTCTGACAGAAGGTGCTGCGGGCTGAGGGTCAGCAACTGGGTCCATGCCCATATCTGGGTCACTGGAGAGGGGAGAATGCCTCAGAGAAGAGCTGGGCCTTGGGGTATTGAGGCAAACCCTCCCAGGCCAGCGTGCCCTGGACACTGCAGGTGCTCCTGCGGGACTCAGGGTCTGGCCCGGTGTCTCCTGCTGGAAGGGGTGGAATGTGTGCACACTTCCTCTCTGTCACCTCCAGGCTGGCTCTTTGATGCCCTGGCCAGACAGTCCCTACTGGTCAGATGTGACTGAAACCTTCAGGTCCTGCCCTGGGGAAGGGGCAGCAACCATGGGGTGGGGCATGTTTTCCTGATTCTAACTCTTTTTGGTTTCCTGGCAGCTCTTAGGACACAGAAAGTGGACCTCTTTTTCAAGGTGCTCTGGAATGGATGCCACTGTCCCCTTCCTGTAGCTCCGCCGGCAGGAAGTCCCTCTGGAGGGCTAGCCTTAGTCTCTCCCGCTCCAGAGGGCAGCTTTGGGGTTGAGATGGCCTCAGTCACCACCTGCCACCATCCTAGCTGCCCACTCCCATCCCAACCTCCGAGGCCGCCAGCTATATGGCCAGAGGACTGGGCTGCCTAGGTTTTGCTGGCCAGAAGTTTGCATATGTGGGTCTGGTGGGGTGAGGCTATGGGGTCTTGGCAGGACATGCTGGCCACACCTGTCTTAGGCACCTCAGGGTGCAACTCGGGTGCTTGGTGAGCAGCAGGCTGGTGGCTGACACTGGGGGTTCTAAGTTGAGCCTCCCTCTGCAGCCTTCCCATCGAGATGCTTCCATGTAAGCTGGTACCCCCATTTTATGCAGAGACAAACCGAGGCCCCAGCCCCACACTGTCACTGCCTGTGCTCTGCAGGTGTGGGTGGGCGTGTGCCAGACACACTGTGCTCAAACCCCCAGGCGCCCTAGGGTGGCCTCCCTTATGCAACTTTCCATAAGCTAAAAACAGCTGGGTCCGCCCTGCTTGGGGATGGCGAGCTCTGAGGAGCAGGCGGGGGAGTGAAGGTGAGAGGCTTAGATGTTTTCTGCAGCAGGAGGCGGAGCCGGGGACCACCAGCCTCCCGGAAGGAAGGAAGGAACGAGTGCAGGGAGAGGAAGCAAGCTGGGCTCCCACGGGCGGCCTGGTGGTGGACTGACAGACAATGAGCAGTCTCAGGCTCTGCCCAGGGGCTCAGGGCCAGTCCTGCCGCAGCCACTCATATCCTGTCTCAGGTGTCCCGGATGCGCCAGACTCAGGTGAGCGTGGCTGCCCGCCCACCCGCTGCCAGTGGTCATGGCTGGACCTGTCTGTGCTTGGTGTCCACCGTCAGTTGTTGTGTGGTCAGTCAGCCTACTCTGAGAGGCAGCCAGGATAGTGGTGGAGGGTGAGGAGTTGGGGTTTGAATCCCAGCCCCGCTGCACACAGCCATGTGGCCCTGCAGGGTGATGGCCTCTCCGGATCTGTCCAGGATGATGACCACTGATTGCCTCTCAGTCAGTTTGCAGCATCTCCCCTGGCACAGCCTGGGGG